GGTGAGAATGTGGATGGAATAGCATACGTTTGCGAAACGTTATACGAAGTTTCACAAGAATGCTGGGTTGTGAACAAAACTTTCGCCCCAGGCGGGACTAGAACCCGCACCTCTCGCTTTCCGGGCAAGTGCGCTACCAGTTACGCTACCGGGGCACCATTTCATCCCAACTCAGCTTTTCAAGGCAAGGCGAACTGCGGCCAAAAACAGCAGTTAACAAACAAAAACAACTGAGACTAAGTCTTTTGATGAGATCAGAAAAGCAAAAATGCCTCAATAGTGTGCATTTGTGAGAGCTCCCAGACAGTACCGTAAAACGGTGGATTGCCTAGCTTCACGGTTGGCAGGTCCAGAGACACTGCCTAGCACGTTTTAGTACTACAGTAACTTAGAAGTTAAACTTTCGGGAATTCGAAATGTTATTCATAGCTAGCACTACTGGTGCTTTATTCTGTGAGCGTGTACAAGAAAATATCCGCAAAGATCCAGGTTCTGCGTGATTTTCGGGAACAGTTAGCGCTTGAAGGGACCACTAAAAACACAATTTAATTTAAAGTAAATTACCATTACATGGTGCACATGGTTGTCACAAAATTGCCGTTCTACATAGTCGTCATCAGTGATTTTGAATCTGATGAATTGCCTTCATTGACGACATCAATATGATTCGACGGGAGCAATTCGCAGGCTGTTATGTGCATCAACGGCTTTAGTGCTAGCCCTTTAGGCGTTTTTAATGACTTATAGATCGGGATTGCATAAGAGGCTAGCTGCTTGCTGTTTTCTAGCAAATTCAGCGAACATGTGAATAGCTGAGAAATTCTGTGCCCCAGACTTTGATAGGGAGTGTTTTCTAACGACGTTACGAAATTACAAAGCTATTTTCCGAGTTCAACGATAGTTTCATTTTGGATACTGAATGTGTTTCCTGCAGGTGTCGGTTACCAGCCATGGCTGAAGGAAAATCCCGACTCAACACTCATCAAGTACAATATGAGAGATGAGAAATCGTGGGAGCCTTATGTGAAACAGGTATGAAAACTCGCTCATTGGTTTTCAGTCATTGTCGCTTTATTAGTTCAGTGAAAGTATAAACATAACCAGTTCAGTTGGATGACTACCTGAAAAAGTACAACGATATAAACGGGACGAGGGAATGCGGTGAAAATGATAACAATAGCAATATTGCGGATGATGATGTCTTGGTAAATTTTCCTTCTTTTATCAAATTTTCACGAAAATGTCCGAGTCCTGTTTTTCAGCCATGCCGTTTTGATTTGACAAATTTCACTGCTGCTGGTTGCGGTCCGGATAAGCAGTATGGTTACGGCAGAGCTGGCAGTGTGAGTTTGTTGTTGTTGTTGTTGTTGATTTCGGATGATCCGAACTCAAACTGCTACGACTCATCTCGTCGTAGTCGTGCTCGCGCCTTCGACTTCTTCCAACTCATTCGTACCCGGGCGTCGCATCGTTAGGCAGGCTTTTATGCCGCCTTCAAGCCGATCGATAATTTTCGAGCGAACTCCGCACAAGCTGAATTTAGAGATTTTAGTAAGACGAATTCAAGTACTCTTAGGGATAAATGGTTGTCGATTAGTGAGACATGACTAGATGTGGTCTTGCATGGAAATTTGAAGGAAAAATCCTTTCTCTCGAAGCTACGGTAATGACAACATCTCCACCCTTCAAGCTTTAAGCGCTTAAAAAAGTTATAAAGATTTTTGGGTTATCGATGACCCAAAAATTTGAGTTCCTATTGAACCCTTCAATGATTTTCCTCACAAGGTGTATAACATCGGGGTTCTTGTTTTCCTCAAGCACAGTTAAATAAAGGGCCTTAGGGGGGGGGGACTTCAAAATAGGGCCTATGGTAGGTGCTACCAGAACTAAGCCCAGCAGAGGGGAGAAACGCCAGGAGAACACATATTGCTCACATCCTTCCCAGAATCCCTTTCCCCTGCCTAAGGCTCAGATCCCACGTAATGCAAGTGGTTCACTCACGTGAATCTCCTCCCCCCCCCGCTTGCAACAGAAACGCCAAAGAAAAAATGCGAATTATTTGCAGCCATGTGTCGTTCTCTCACTGAATCGTCTCATCGGATGGCAGCCGGTGGATTATGCGCCGGATTCCGTGCCAGAGAACGTGAAAGGACGTTATAGAAGCGGTTCGATTGCGCTGTACTGTGATGGAGCTGTGAGTGGAGTGCATGCGTGATGGTTGTAAATATGTGTGTAATATTGATTTTAACCTAATCATTCATTCAGAACAATCCTGATAAGGAGCATATCGGCCGTCTGAAGTACATTCCAGAGTATGGTATTGATGGAAGATATTATCCATACGTCTACGTGCCCAATTACCATCAGCCAATTGTGAGTTATCAGTAGACAGTAGTTTTTTTTCATAGATTTCTTGGTGCTAACTTAGTTGGGGGGGGCACGCGGCGGCGCGGCAGTCTGCTCGCCTGGCATGTTCGGAAATCCGTGGGCCAGGGGGAGTGTAGGCAGTCTAGGGGGGGGGGGGGCAGTCACTTGACATGCGTGAAAAGCTGGAATGTTCGAGTTTACACTGTCTCGCTCGAGAGAGCCCAGGTGAGCAGACTGCCGCGCCGCCGCGTGGCCCCCCCCCAACTAAGTTAGCACCGATTTCTTTTTCTATTCGGTTTGCGCTTCCTGTGCAGCCAATGACTCAGCGGCCTTACCATCAGCGTTTTGGAAGGGGAGCTTATGAATAACGGGCGCTTTCGCAAGATGCGGGGCGTCCCTAGGACTTACTTAGGAAGGGGCAAGAACTGTGGGCAAAATAAAAATCTTACACATTCTGGAGTCCCTCCTCAAAGCTCAGTTCCGTTCCATAGACAAAGAAGATGTTTACGAAGAAGATGTTTAGAAGATGTTTTACGATGCTCTAAATGCATTGTCATCACAATACCCCTGCATCTGGCGATAGCGCGGAATAACGTTCCTGAGCTGGTCCTGTTGTTGGCAGGAGAGCTGAGCAATTTTACGTATTCATGCGAGATGCGATAGGGCGCTGAAAGCATTGCGTGTGGTTTTCGCGTGTTCCAACCCCAATACCCTCCGGCTCGAGTTCTTCAAAGAACATGAATGATGCGAGCGTTCACCAGAAGGCCAGGGCTCAGATAGGAAAAGAGTTGTGCTCAGGCCTCGAGCTTTCTCGGAATGTGTGGCCCTTACCCACGCGTTATGCTCGCCCGCTGTTCGTCCCGATTGCGAGAAGTGGCTCGAAGCTCGTCAAGTCTCTCAGAGAAGCATCCCGTCGAATAATCTAGAGGAAACAAATTTTGCCGCTTCCGAATTGAATAAGGCAGCTCGGCGTCGCTTCTATGGACGCTGGACCCTGTTGGTCAGAGGTGCATGGGCTTCAGCTATAGTAAGTGGTGTAGAATCAGGTCAATAGACTTATTATACGAAATAATTGGATATTCTTGTGCAAAGTGGGTCCAGCCACCTCATGCACAAGGCGTATCATGAGGGTTGCAACTATGGTATCATCTGCTTATTAGAAGGGGTCAGATATTTGTCAGGTCTTTCTGGGGGGGGGGGGTCTTGCTTTGCAGTCAAGTGACAAAAAAGTTTCATAGGATCTTCGCAAAGGGTTTGATAAGCAGTAGACTTAGCCGATTGGTTGAAAAGATAGTCTCAACAAAGCTATCAATTTACTTGGCACGGTCGTTGATTTGATCATTTCGTTGGTATAGTAGAAATATGCTAAAAAGAAGTTGTGTGCTGGGTGAAAGGCCACATCGAAAAATTAAATCTATGGCAATTTCTGGGAGGATCCCTTGAAAGCTGTGTAGAGCCAGAGGAAGCTGAAGTGCTGGAGTCGTAAAGGGTTAGGGAATAGGTTACCAGTTACCGTTTTGTATCTTGGTCATTCCGCTTCACCTTTCGAAAAAAAATCGTATTGATTATAACCATTCGAGTGAGATTTCCTGAGATACCTTCAGATTCTATTCGATTTTTTTTTATTTCCTGAGATACCTTCAGATTCTATTCGATTCTCACAGAAATCAACCGGAAAGCCTAAGCGGCAGTTTAGCGCATTTTTGTCATTAGCTTTATTTCATGCTTAAAAAGCAAAATTTTTGTGCTATTCGTTAAGAGGATGCCTTATTCAGAGACTTCCACTTTTTGCGCTCGACTTTCATTATTTACTTTATTTACTAATTTCGGGGAATACTTGTACGACTCGCCACGCACAGAGTGCCCTACCGGAATCGACGGAGAAAATTTGAAGACATTCGGAAGGGCCAAATTTGCAAAGGGTTGTGTGACATGTTCAAAACCAACACACTGACAGGCTCTTCTCTCCTGGCAACCATAATTGAAGACCACTTGATCCTCTGAAATCAAATGTTTTTTTACGAAACTCCTTTTTCCTTGGTGGGCTGGAGAGAGCGCGGCGAGTCCTTGAGGTCAGGTTCGCCATTTTCGAGCTAACTGAAGTCAGCTTCATCACTTCTCCCGGCAATGAAATCCTCTGTCAGAATGGCACAAATATTCATAATACTATTGAGTGCAGTCTTCAAAGAAACGCCTGCTCACAGCACGATTTTTTGACGTTTGTAATCTTTACTTTGGAAAAAATACATTGTTTATAAAAATCGGTAGCGCTTAATTTCCTAGAGGAGGAGAGAGGGAAGGGTCTTTTTTTTCAAAATACAATATACTCCCAGGAGGTGGATGGAACAAACAGGGTCCAAGCACGGCGGAAATCTAATATTTTTTCCTCAACCTATTAGGTGTAGCCAATGACAAAGATGTGCGTTTAGCCAGACCGGGCAACAGTGCGCTAGGAAGGGGTGGGGGGGGGGGGGGAGAGAGGAAGGGGAGAGAAAGCAGAGGAGTGGAGTATGTTGCAAGTTCTCATATATGCATGCCATCTGTTTACTTATGGGCTTTGCCTTTAGCTATCGCCCCAGAGTAAGAGGACTCGAGAACCAACGGCTTGCATGCATTGAGGGACATGAAGGCTTGTTCCATATGTGAAGACACGGGTCGCGATTAGATCCTTGGGGAACACGAGGGGTGGGTAGTGTAGCATCTTAAAGGTGTGCGAAAAGGAAGGTAATGCTTTCGCTTGACCGCTGCGACCGCTGCCATTCCCATCAATCGCAACATACGTGGCGTCTGCGCCCTCTTGCGTACGACGTGCTCTCTCGCATTTTCCTCTCCATGCAGCGCTGTTTCTTTCCACCAACCCACTTGGGGACTTCACCAGAAGTCTCAGTGTTTTCTAAGGTGCATTTTGCTCCTTTCCCCATAAATTTTTTCTCTTCATACTTTTGTCTGATTTTCGAACAAAATAACACACCATTTCGATCCCTACCCGTGCCTTTAGGTACTGCACTGAAGTTTGAGCTCACTTGAGAAACTAACAGCTTTTCCTGAAAAGTTTAAAAATAAATGGTTCAAGTGCTGCTCGTAAATGAAGCAACTGTGTTCCAGGCTATGGTGAAGTTTGAATCGCTGCCACGTAACAAACTTGTGCTCGTCGAATGTCGTGCATATGCTCTGAATATTGAGCACGATATCACGTCACGACTTGGTCTCGTACACTTTGAGCTGTTCCTTGAAGATAAGGTCGTCGATACGAAACCGCAAGCGTTGTGATCTATGTCGTAACGCTCGGTGCAATCAACCAACACATACATCTACGACGTCTACGCGATTCACGTTCTTTCGTTCGTCCGTACGTCTTCACGTCTCTTTCGCGTTGATCCCGTCGTAATATGTTCGAAATACTTCTAATATATATTATGTATATCCCATCCCGTTGATGATATTCGTATTGGCTGCTTCACATAACCCATACACTCTATAGTTGTTGATACGGTATCCGTAGTGATTCTAAGTGTATGACGCGACCGAGAAGGATGGCGCTTGGCGTTGTCGACCGGATGGTCGACGATGAAATGGCGAAATACAGAAGCGTTGAGCTTCCCCGTCTCGTTCACAATTTTTCCCTTCTCGTACGCGGCGCATTCTCTCTCACTCTCTCTCTCCTTCTGTGTCTGCCCTGTTGATCACTCATTACGTATTTCGTGTCAGCTTCGATTCGGCGTAGAAGCCAGTAGATGTGTAGAAAGTGTTTTACTCAGATTTATACTGACTGTTCAGAGATGGCGTACTATATGTGTTTAGTCCCGGTCCGATTATGTCTTCCTTCGTTTTATTTGTTTGCAAGCGTCACCAGTTTTCTAAACCTCATCGCTTCACGTGGGGTCTGCGCTCTTCCGCTCCCCTTTATGCTCACTTGTTTAGTAGTTTTATTGATCGACGACCCCCTTTAAGTCCCCACCTTATATGATAATGATTATATACGTGATCCTCGTCCTGCTCTCTCACAGTCCCCTCATACTCGTGCTCCCCCACAGACCCAAAACTCACTACTATCCTGTTTTATTATATGATGTTCTCCCAAGTTGTCCCACTTTGTATGAAAAGATTTTTGTATACGTTCTCATACGTTTAGTAGAAAGTCTAGTTATGCGGCCTGAATGCGCGTAGATGATACTCACTACTGGCAAGTGTTGTCGCAATCGCCGCCCGCTAAGTCGCGCGCGATGCCGCACTTGATAGGTGGTGGTCGTTCGCGCGGCGGATGGTCCCGCACACATCGTCGCCTTTTGACTTCCGGCTCGCGTTCGTCGGGTCCTCGATTACACTGCATTTGCAAGTAAGAATAGGACTTGTTTTGTGTAGGGTGTTCGATATGTTTCTATTACATTGTTTAATTTCGGATGTGGTCATATGGTGATGTGTCTGTCTGATTATGAAATACACATACACACAGCATACACACATACACACACACTTCACATAGACTCGCATTTGGATAGCCGTAAAGACATTAGGCACATGCACTCACACAGACACGTATACACAAAATAAACCTAATGTAGAAATTTCTCTAATCGTAACTTGTGATCAGATTATGGTATGTTGTTCGAATTTATGACATATTTTGATAATTCCGATATATTGTTATGTTAAAGGGTTGGCGTCCGAGTTTTTCATCTATATGACGCACTGCACACATACCCACATATCACGTATACACCAGGCAGAAATACGACAGATGGATTTACACTTACACACAAATATACACCGGATATTTACGGAGAAGTATACAAGTACACAAACAGAATACACACACATACACCGCATCGTTCCCCCATTCCTTGTGCGTCGTATTCCTTTGTCATTGATTGTTCGGGCGCGTAACCTTTTTTTTTAGTGGTAGATTTGTACGGTAGAGTTATTTCATGTAGGAATGCTTATGAGCAATGTTTAAGTTCACATTCAGATTGTATTTGAACATTCAGAACGATATTTGATAAAAATGGATTGAAAAATTGATTCACTGTGTACCTGTGCAAAAGTGGTCGTGGTTACATGTGAAAAACATGCCTATTGATTGTTCCCAAATAGCAGTGAAATAACATTTCTAATGATGTAAAACCTTGAGGTGCTGCCAGTTAAGATGATATTCATTTTTCAAAGCCAGAAGTTTTCTGCGAGGTGATCATTGTTTTTGCATTCTCCTGGTGTACGCCATGCATTCGACTTCCCCGATATGTAGAATAGCAGAAGAAACAATGTTTGCCTAACTCATCTAGTGTCGTATGCACCAGTTTTGTTTTTGGTTCCATAGAGTACCAATGAAACCTGTGCAGACCCCTTTATATGGCTGCGCCTGGTTTTGCATGTGGAAACCAGGGTAGACTCTTCTTGGTATGTAATCGACACAAGTCACCAATAATTTTCATTTTCCCTGTCACATCCCGACGGTGGCTAAAATAATATTTAACCCCTTTCTCTATTCGCGCCGACCGAACAGTTCTGTGGGAAGTGCTGGGACTGAGGTAACCTTCTCAGATAATGCTCCAGCAGAAACCACCGAGTTACGGGCCGCAGCAGTGTCGGCAGCATATGCTGCCGACACGCCCACTAGTCTCTGACTGGCTGGCTCGTGTCTGCACGCAGTAACCTTTGTGGTGGTAGCCAATCACGGACGAGTGGGCGTGTCGGCAGCATATGCTGCCGACACTGCTGCGGCCCGTAACTCGGTGGTTTCTGCTGGAGCATTATCTGAGTCAGTGGTCGACATGCAGCGTGCGCTTCCAGCAGTTCGTGTGATGGCTAGGTAAAAATGAAGCGGTTATACTCGTTAATTACTAAGCCAGCAGTGCTCTTCAACTGGGCGGCAATGCAGCAGAACAGACGAAGGGCTCAAAACCGCCACACACAAACATGGCATTCGTGTCTCCAAGTTGCATGCTATCCTAGGCTGGATGTCGCCAAAACCAGCAGTTTTAATACGAAATAACAAAATAGGGACGAGCTCATGATCTAAAATTGTAGTTCGTGTTAGTTAGACTAACTACTCTTCAAACAAATCGATCTTTGAACGACTTAAAGGGCCGGCATGCGATCAAATTTTTGAGGGAGTTCTTCTCGTTAGTGTGGTAAAGGGTTGCTAACGGCAGGAGTCGTGGCACTGCCACGACTGAAAGTGTGTCGCAAGGGCGCTGGGTTTCCCCAATGACCGCTGCCATTGTTACTTGTTCGCTGTGTGCGTGGTGCCTGTGCCCTCTCGTACGACGTGCTCTCTAGCGTATTCCTTCTCCTCGCCGTGGTGTGCTCTCATGAGCGCTTGGTTTCTGTTTTCTATGGGTTCTCTTGCTTTTTTCATCTCTTATGGACCCTTTCTCAGCTCTTCTTCGATATTCGAGGGGGGGGGACACACCATCTCAATCGCAACCTGTACCTTTAACTCTGGCCATTTAACTAGATCACAAAATAATTGGGAGATTGTTATGGTATGTTGATGTTATGTGTGACGCGCTCTTGTCCTGTTGAGCATTCTGGCCCTTCGAGTCATGCCATCCCATTCCAAGACACGGTGAACGATCGGACGAGCCCGTTCTGCAATTGGAAAGAGAGCTTGTAGGCAGGGTTCCTCTGTGTTTGATGGCGAGAACGTCTCAGTTACGTATTCAATGAGTCAGACGTTCCCATATAAAATTGATGCATATCGGCCTCTAGGGCCTCCTAGCGCTGCTGGATGCCTGACCATGTTGAATGTCTACGGAAATTATCGATTAGCTCGATAAAAAGTGATAATCAGAGGACCTGTTATCTATTTTTGGTGTACTTCCGCTGCGTCACCTGTCTGCGGTCGGCCTCAATGGGGAAACATCATTGAACGGACACAAGGTGTCGTCGGTTGCCTGGCAAGAGACTGGAGCTATGCTCGGGGAAATGGCATAGTTGACTGCTAACGCTTCTGCCTAGTGACTTATGATATGGTTGCTCCAGCCAATGAGAAGACGCGGATTTTTTACATGAACATGAAATGGTTATGGAACAGGTAATCGAGGGCAGAGTCAAGCGCCCGGCCGGTCGCGATCCAAATGGATTTTAGGAGCGTCGCATTTGTGGCTCTTGGGAAGGGGGTCGCGATTAGGGATCGAGGTCGAAAAGATATTATTTTGGAAATTGAGGGCGTTGTGGTCGCGTGCGAAGGATGGAGGTCATTTCTACTGATCTTTTTGTAACCTTTGACAAAATCTTCAAAAAATAAACATGAAACGGACAGAAGGTCAGAAAGCAGAAAGTTCAGTGAAAAACAGGTGGCAGTTGAAGAGCGATGAACGGTTTACATTCTACTTTCTGTTGACGTTTCCAAGAAATAGCAAAGAAAATTCACGGTCGGATTCGATCTTTTGACGTCACCCTTGCAAATCCGCCGCTTTAACCACTGAGCCATCACTCCACTTGCAGTAGAAAGTAGCAGTAAAGTAGAAAAACCTCCGTAATTTTATTCACAGCGTTGTTCAGCAGGTATGGGAGAGAGATTTGGAATCAGCGTCCGAAGGCGCATCGGTAGTTATTCATATGATCTTAAATGGCTGCTTCGACGAGCCATCCTTCCCTTGTGAGTGGACATCCCGAAGTGGCGTCCAGCAATGGTAAATCTGTTACCCTAATCAGGTACCGCTCCCTGATAGGAAATTAGGTATGCACGGAATGCCAGTTTCTAGAGGGGATGTTAGGTTATCGGTTGTGCGATCAGGTGGGTCAGCAACCAATATGTCGGGTCGATAAATACGCGGTACCAACCGCTAGCCACCCTCGTCAGTTTTTCCACACTACGTGCCTGTGTCTTCGTCTTTATGATTTTTTTTGTTTTCTTCCTGCCTCTACAAAATCTTATAAAGTGGTCGCGACGAGAACCCGATATTTCTGTCTTCTTCCAGCATAATTTTGCCATCAGATATCTTGCTACCAGTGGTCTTGTAGACGTCTCCCTTTTACTTTGTGTACTGATGCACTAATCACGAAGCCGTAACTTCCGATTCGTTGATTCAGAAAACTGCTGATAACCTTTAAAAGTAGCGCGGCGCTCAAAAATTCTCGCGAGGTCGAGTTACTTTCAAAGGTTCGTGTAGAATATTGCTAAAATTTTTCCATGAATATTTGAATACTGAGTGTTGGAGCAATTTCACGATAAGGTCTGAGGTCGAAGAAGGGGAAACTCAGCTAGTGGAAAGACAGGCGGAAGTACATGCAATATTTTACACGAACCTTGAAGTAGCTCTAGCTCTCAAGTATTTTTGGTCGTCGCGTTGCCCCCACGATCTAGCAAGCCTTTCCCGCGACGCTTTCGGCGCGGACACGCCCCATTTCTGGGCTTGTAGCACAGAGAGCGTAAGTACTAAGAGGACAGCGCGTATGAGGATCGCATCAGTGCGGAAATCAAGGGACAAGAAAGGGGTCTCATCTAGGCCGATGTCAGACTTTGCGAATCGCGCGATTCGCTAGCGTCCGCGGTCGCGTTGCGGTACCAGCCAATTGAGTGATTCACTGGCCGCGACGCGACCGCAGACGCTAGCGAATCGCGCGATTCGCAAAGTCTGACATCGGCCTTATGAGCTCTGAACCGTTTCTCATGATTTTTTTCTTCATCTCTGCCCCACTGACCACATCTATTGATTCCTAATAAGCTGGTTTTTTTGTCATAAAATCCGCTCCAAAGCTTTAAGAGTTGATTAATCGTTTAAGATGCGCCATTCATTCCACTTCCATTCAGAATCGCTGTAGCATTCGAATGCTGTACTGCTTATACAATAAATTGGGAGACCAGCCCATGAGAAATCAGTGTTTCACCTCACAAACAAGTATGGTACCATTTAGCTCCCTTGGAGGGACGTAGTGCTTGATTGGCCTGGTTAAGATACGTCCTAGATTAGGCCCAGCGACCGTGCACGAGGGAGGTGACTAGGAGAGCCGCATGCCATTTACCTCCTCCATGGAGCGTTTATACGTCTCACATAATTCTTCATTGGGACCGGCCGATTATTTTGATCAGATGAATCACGAAGTGCAGCATGGCTGCCCGACTGAATCATAAATTAATTAGGATGTCAAGAGGTTTGGAAAACGATGAAACATCATTGGCTTCTTCTTTCTCTGTACGCGAGGGGATGTTTACGGAGGATTGCCTAGAAGCCTATCCAAGACCACGGGGATGAAGATGGCGAAAAGATGGACGACCTGTGAAGATGTGATTAAAAAGATGAATTTCTCAACAGCCATTGATCACAACGGGATGAAATAAGAGGTGGCTATCCGAGGAACGCGGCATGTGTCTGTTGGTTGATGAAGACAGCGATGGAATGACGGAGCCGAAGGGTTCAATGGGAGAGTGAGACTGCGTTCTCGCGCTTATTAGCGATGATTGACAGCTTGAGATTTGCTCACACTCCACCCTGTCATTACTATGAATCAATCATGAAAAGAACACACTGACTGCACATTTTACTACTTTCAGGTACCGGGTAACACGCGTGAATTCGCCAACAAGGGACGACTTCCGGTCCGGCGCCTTCGCCTACGTCTCCATAGAAACAGTCATTGACGTGCTGCTACTTCTCCTGTACCTGACGGGAATTGCGTTCTCACGGGATTATACGATTCCTGTAATGAAAAGGTGATTCGTTCTTGATATCAGCTGATAATGAAAATGATGATAATGAAATGGTCAGGCCATAGAGGCACTCAAAGGCACAGATCGCGACCAGATCTTCTAAGGATAAATTCTCTCTTTGTGTGAGGAGGGAAGGCACTCAATTGTAGGAGTGAAGAAAATGGAGCGGCCTGAAAGTGCACGACAAGGGAACTGATTCCCTCGCTTGACCGCTGCGACCGCTGCCACTCTTACTAAGCGCAGCACACGTGGCATCTGCGCCCCTCGCGTGCGATGTGCTCTCTCGCGTTTTCTCTCTCCTCGCAGCGCTTTGTCTCTATGTCGTAGCGAGATCGTCCCTACAAGAAACATTCTAGTGTCTTCTACCCTCCTCTTTGCTTTCTTCCCCGCTAACCTTCCTCTCCATACTGTTTTCTTATTCGAAAAAATAGTACACCATGATCGGTACCTGATACCACTGATGAATAATTCCGCAGTCATAAAAATTGCAGGAAAAGATGTAGTGCCAGCCTCAGTAATGAATTTTGCAACGTGTAATGTAGAAAGAAAATCTTGAGCAATACTGCCAAATGGGAATACATAAAGAAGACGATTGGTTGAAACACAACTCCTATAGAAGGATTTTTATAGTTGCCTGCAACGGCTTTTTGAGTACCAGCACTTAGAGAGTCATCTATTTTCAAATCCCAAATAACTCAAAATAAGTTTTTGGAAATTCACCACCGTATCATTGCAAAGTAAGCAATCCAAATCACCTTGAAGGCACTTTTCGCAAATGGAAATAGTTGTAGCATTTGGGTCGATCAGTAAATAGAACAAAAAAAGCTGATAGGAGCCCTTACTCATATTACGCGCTATGGCTTCGTATAGTAAGCACTTGCCTGTGTACTGGCACCCTTCTCATTCGTTCCCAGTTGTGCACCGTATTCAACCACATCAAGAAGAAAGCCATTCATTCAGACAGGCATACGCTCGGGTTGATACCGGCCATTCAGTCAGTGAGCAATGTGATCTGAAGGCACGGGTGGGGATCGAGGTGATGTGTTATTTTGTTCAAAAATTAGACAAGAAGTGCGATGAGGAACGTTAGTGGGGAGAAAAAGCAAAAAGCACCATAGAAAACACTGAAATTTCCCTTGTGAGGTCGGCCGTGGTATGACGGAGAGACACAGCGCTGCGAGGAGAGGGAAAACGCGAGAGAGCGTTGTACGCGAGAGGGCGCAGACGTCACGTATGCCGCGATTGATAAGGATGGCAGCGCGGCAACACCTTACGCAAAACCTTAATGTAGTTTTTTTTCTAGTTTTAGACAAAATTCACGGCTTCTGGGAATTTTAGCGGTTTTTTGTTTTCTTTCATTAATGGTCGGCCAATACGCTATACCCTTGCATTTTATGGCGCAGCTATCAACACCTATTCCGACGCGTAATATGTCTTCGTGCAATTGGAACTGTCTGACCGCACCTCATTTTACTGCATCATTATTGCTAAAATTTAAATAATTTCTTGCGGCGGAATACATTTTTGAAGTCAATCTTCCGATTTTCGATTCTCTACAGAAAACACCTCTGAGGAACAGTTGCAGTGCTCTGTGGATTGACCACAGAGCACTGGGCTTGCCCATACCGATCAGCACACTCTACAAAAAAAGTTAATTCGCTCCTGCGGTTTTTGAGCGTGATCGTCGTTACCTCATTACAGTGAGCATTATCTTGGCTTTCCTAGCGAAAGAGTGGAAAGGATTTCTTCAATGAACGACCCCTGCAGCCCTAGTGCCAGCTCGTTAGAAAGGGTTGAAAAGATAGTAAACTTGACCCACATATACATATCAGTGGCGCTCAAACGCATTCGGACAAATGCATTTTTGGTCGTAACTTTTCTTCTGCGGGATCAAATTAGGTCAAATTTTAACATATTTTGGAGGCACAACTTTCTAACAAATATATACACTGCGTTCAATAATGATACAGCCACCTAAAATTTGTTCGAAAACTTAAAGTTCATAGAGTTTCTGAAAAACTGTCCAGATAGAAAATGTGAAAATTTCATGGCGAGTTCAGATATCAACAGAAAAATCCATGTTGAAACTTATACTTATACGGCTCGTCGTCAGTTCATCTGCGAGCACCAGCAACAAACCATTCGTTTCGTTCTTTCGCAATCGCCATCCATGGTTGTTGTAGAATTCGTCGGAGACGGCGATCTGAAGCATCGTTTAGCTGCATTCGCAGCTGCTTTATGTGATTGACGAGTGCATCTCCCCATCTCGCAGCAGGTCTCCCTTTGGACCGCGAAAATCCTACGGGAGCCCACTCTACCGTTCTTCTTGTCCACCTGTCATCTGCTCTCCTCATGATGTGTCCGGCCCATCGTAGTTTGGCGTTTGTCATGTACTCCACAGGGTCTCGGAGATGGGACATTCTGCGCAGGTCTGCGCTGTGGAGTCCAGCTCGATATTGAGTAAATCTATTAAACCTCAAAAGACATCGCTCGAGCGCTCTGTGAGCTACAGTCAAAGTCCTTGACGTGGATGCGCTGCTCACCCATGTCTCTGCCGCGTAACAAAGCGCTGGAAGAACTGTAGAGTCAAACAAATGCGCACGAAGTTCTGGGTCAGCCAGATGATTGGTAACTTCTTTCAGAGGTCCGAAGGCTGCCCACGCTGCTCTCTGTCGTCTTCCTAGCTCTTCTTTCATATCGTTGTCCATGTTCATGGATCGTCCGAGATAAACGTAAGATGTGGCTTCCATGATAGGTGTGCCATCAATCTTGATTCCGCCTCCATCGGACCAAACGTTCTTCATGAATTGTGTCTTTTTCTGGTTGATCCGCAACCCCACCTTCTTTCCTGCTTCATTCAGTTCAGCGAGCATCGTCTCAGCTTCCGTAGTGCTACTTGAGAAGAGAACGATGTCGTCGGCGAAGCGCAGATTTGAAAGGTACCGTCCGTCCACACGAATGCCCTTCTCATCCCAATCGAGCGACTTCATTATCCACTGCAGCGCAGCCGTAAACAACTTTGGCGAGATGGTGTCGCCTTGTCTCACGCCCTTCCCCAAAGGGATGGTGAGAGGTCGTTGGAATAGTTGCACCGTTGCGGTGCAGCGACGATTGCAATCGGCCAGCGTTCTTATGTAGGACGCTTCCACTCCTTGGTCGACTAATGCTGACAGGATCGCGTTTGTTTCTACACTGTCAAAAGCCTTCTCGTAGTCAACGAAGGTAAGAACAAGAGGCATTTGGAATTCTCGGCACACTTCTATGACCATGGCGACTGACTGGATGTGGTCTAAGCAGCTGAATCCCTGACGAAATCCGGCTTGCTCGGTAGGTTGCGCTTCATCCAGTGATCGAGAGATCCGTGTAAGGATGATCTTGGTGAATAGCTTGTACAGAACGCTCAGCAAGCTAATTGGGCGGTAATTGCGAAGATCATCACGGTCTCCTTTCTTATGGAGGATAATCATGCGTGAGTTCCTCCATTGGTCTGGGATCTTCTCCTTCTGAAGGTAGATTGTTAAGTGGTCAGCGAGAAGAGCATGAAGTTGGTGACCACCTGCACGAAGCAAGTCGGTTGAGATTTTGTCAGGACCGGGAGTCGTGCCCCCTTTCATGCTCGCAATTGCCACTCGTACTTCTGAAGGAAGAATTCGCGGTGTTACTTCTCCAGTCGGAATTTCCGGGTCTGGCACATGTGTCGTGGACCGATATAGGTTGCTGTAGAACCTCTCCGTTATTTCTTCCATCTCGAACCGGGACGTTGTGAGGGTTCCGTCTTCTCTTTTTAGACATGCGAGGGGTGTAGTATGGTCTTGTAGATCCCGTCTGCATTTCCTCAGACTAGTTCTGTTCAGCGCTGCCTCTAGTTGCCTCTGCTGCCTGTACTGCTGAAGATCCTTTTGCATCGCACGCCTGCAGCTGATGTTCGCTTGCAGCCTTTCAAGGTGTGTTGCGTTTGGATCAAGCCTTAGCTTTCTTCTTGTTTTGAGTAGATCTTTTGTCGCATCGGAAATGCGATGAGAGTTATCAAATCGAGGAAGCTTAGCCCGTTCAGCACAAGCGATGAGTCCGCAAAGCAGAGCGTCGTAGTCTTCGGTCGGATCCTCCATGACTTGCCAGTCATAGCTGGACAATGCGTCGTTCAGAGCTTCGCCGTCGTAAGCAACTTGCTTCGCTCCTTTCGCCTGATGTTGAGATATTTTTTCCAGCTTTTGACTGAACCTGATCTTGGCGCGAAGGAGGCGATGATCCGAACCACTGCAAAAGGAGGGTACCACAGCAACGTCCAGTAAGCAATACTTTCTGTTCACAAGTATGTGGTCCAACTCGGCATGGGTTGTTCCATTCGGGGACTCCCATGTCCAACGGCGATGTTCCTTCTTTTGGAAAAACGAGTTACCATGAAAGAGTCGAGCCGCAGACAGAAGTCCTGCCAGACGGTTTCCGTTCTCGTTCCACTCTCGCATCCCAAACTTTCCAATCCTGAACTCGTCTTTTGGGGTTACACCGAGCCTTGCATTAAAGTCTCCAACAACGAACTTGTAGAAGGACTTTTCCTTGCGGATGATCTCCTCCAACTGATCGTAAAACGCATCAAGTTCGGCTTCATCAGCTGCACAGTGTGTGGTGAGTAGCAGTTGATGATGTTGATGGTCTTCATATGCGAATGCCGAAGGCGCAGGATGGCAAGGCGAGGAGATATGATCTCATGGGAGTCGACAAGGTGAACGATAGATGGATGTACGACAAAGCCAACGCCGCCGACGTTTCGCGATGGAAACTTCTCACCTCGGATGATAAGGGTTCCGTCATTCATTCGTCGCACGTCAGTCTTCCTGCTCTTGGTTTCTTGCAGGGCAATCACGTGGTACTTGATGTGGTTGATCGCCTCGAGTAGCTCTTGGAGAGCGGCATTGGAAGAAACTGTTCTCGCGTTGTAAGTGTGGAGTAAGAAGCAGTCTCCATGTCGTGTAGGGGAAGTGCTCTCATAGTCCATAATCCAAGGCGTCCTGCGCAACCCGAGATTTCTTCGCCTCTCACCGGTCGCCATACCGTCCGACGCCGGAGACGGCTGGGCCCAGTGTGCGGGGTACTGAGGCTGTTTTATTGCTGTGTTAGCTGCTTTGCTCCCACTCTCAGCACTGCCTAGCCAGGGCCAATGCCGAGTCGTTACCACAGTGGCCGGAACCACTGTGGGTCCGAGGGGTGGTCTACTCTTAGCCGAGTGGACATGCAGACATGCCTTTGGAATAAGGTATTGAAGTATTTTAAAAGTATATGAACTAGTAAATGAGATATATTGAACTTGAAAAATTATAAAATTAAAACGGTAAAGGTTTTTGGAGAACACGCCCGCACGCCACCCGTTTCACCCTCCCACCGCGCTGAGGTGGTAGGCCATAGGGAGGGATCCATGTTGAAAACACTAAAAAATTTTGTGCTTATTTTTTCAGAAGAGGTCGATTTTCCTATGTTCAAAAATGATACAGCCACCCCGTGTTTCTTCGTTGAAATTCATTTTTGCTTCATGAAACTGATTCGCAGTTATCAGGCTTTCACCTTAATGTTCCCACAAGATAAAAAAGACAGTTTGTTTTGAAAAAAGGTAAACTGTAGCAAAAAAGGACCAGGAATCGTCAAGCAGTCATATTGCGCAAAAATTGAGTCAAAGCTCCAATACGGTTAACAATCTTTTCTGGAATCCTGTAGGTTATGGAACAACGAAGAGCTCTGGATGTTCATCATTGCTTTTTGGTCAATTTAAACTTCGCATTTTGGGGAAACATTTCAATTTCATCGAACAGTGCCCGGAATTCCAGTCTTCTTTCAGAATTAAACTTTCAATGGATATTGTTTGGGATGTGTTGAAGATTTTCCGAGGTCATTCTTCAATGGAGAATTAAAGAAACCTTGTTTGTGAAAAGAAATTCTCTCGAAAACTGAGACATTTTTTGCTCGAAAGTGTAGCCACGTCCACTGGAGCAAGATCAGTTCTTTTGTCTGTTATGTCTTACTTTCTGTTTACTTTCTTTCGAGTTTTTCCTTCCTCATTAAGGGTTTTTCCTTTCATTAGACTCCTATGAAGCGAAAAACATTGAGAGAAATGCAAGTGAAAAATCTCCAGGTGAAAACGAAAAATCTCAGAAGATTTGGACAGATCCAATAAACTAATAGATCCAATAAACTTCTAATTTGCCAATTCTTCTTCTCCCTAGCGTTAGTCCCGCGCAGTCGCAGGGTCCGCTGTCTTTGTCAGTCGTCGCCACTTTGCTCTGTCCAGGGCATCTTCTGCTGTGGCCGTGACTTCACTTAGGTCCTTCTTGATCACGTCTCTCCACCTCTTCTTTGGGGCTCCTCGCGGTCGCTTGCCTTGCGCTTCGAAGTCCATCGCTGTTCTTATCGGATGATCCTGTGGCCTCCTTAGCACGTGCCCATACCATCGCAGACGCTGTTCCGCACCTTCAGCTGGACAGGCAGTCTGCATGACCGCTCTGACATCCTCGTTTCTGACCCTGTCCAGCCGCGTCCAGCCGCAGGCCCATCTCAGCATCCTCATTTCGGCAGAGTGAAGCTGCCTTTCGTGATTCTTGTTCAGGGGCCAGCACTCGCTGCCGTATAGCATCGCAGGCCTTACCACTGTCCGGTACACCTTCCCTTTGAGCGCTCTGGAGCACCTTCGATCGCAGAGGATTCCAGTGGACTCCCTCCATTTCATCCATGCAGCGTTGACCCGAGCCTTCACTGCCTGATCCACACTACCGTCGGCTGCCAGATCGCTCCCAAGGTATCGGAAGTCCTCCACTCTTTCGATGGTCTCACCATGGCCGTCCACGATCGGCTCTGCACCCTCTTCAGAGCTCAGGAACTTGGTCTTCTTGACATTCAGCCGGAGCCCACCTTCTGCCAGGACTTTCTGCCATTCTGCACCTTGGCTTGAAGTTCCTCTCTGCTATCCGCTATCAGGCGATGTCGTCAGCGTAGAGGATGGTCTTCAGTGGTCCTTCCATGAGCCCTTCACCATGGTATCGAGCGTTAGGAGGAACAGGAAGGGGCTCAGAGCTGACCCTTGATGCACCCCAACCGTGATACCTTCGTTAGGCCGTGTGGGGTGCGTATGGCTGCCTTGCTCCTCGTACATGTCCTTCACCAGCGAGATCAGGTGTTCTGGCACGTTCCGTTCCCTGAGCGCTCTCCATAGTACTGCTCGCGGTAGCCGGTCGAACGCCTTCTCCAGGTCGAGGAAGGCTAGGTAGCAGGGTCGGCGCTTTTCTCGATACTTCTCCATCACTTGCCTGGCGATGAAGATGGCATCCGTTGTAGACCTTTCGGGCATGAACCCGAACTGTTCCTGGGAGATCGGGACCAGCTCCCGCAGTTTCGAGTCGACCAGTCGCTCGTACAGCTTCATGGTATGCGCAGTCAACTTGATCCCGCGGTAGTTGGAGCAGTCCATCGCGTCACCCTTCTGCTTGAAGATGGGGACGATAGTACTTGTTCTCCAGGCATCCGGCATCCTTCCTTCCACAGTTACCTTGTTCAGGAAGCTGGTGAGCCACCTTATGCCGTACTCTCCAGCGCCTTCCACGCCTCGATTGGTACTCCGACCAACTAGATATACTTACTTTCCGGTAGATAAGCCCGCGATATCACGTAAAACACCTCCGCTGGTGCAGTGCACTTGCGTACATCTAGAGACAACCGTAACTTGCCCATAGGGTAATTCGATATGCTGATTACGAAAACGACACATTTTTAGCGGTGGCGCCATCTGGCGCCAGTTGGCGTCACCTTGTCACGACCCTTGTTTTCACCAAAATCGGTGTAAACTTCTGTATAGGGGTTATTTGGTGCCCTGATTACGAATATGACATTCGTTTTGGCATTAACGTTGTTCAACGCATATTTCTCGGTTGGAGAGCGCAGACGAGCAGAAAATAGGCGCCAAATAGCGCCAGCGCCGAGAATGAATGTCATATTCGTAATCAGGACACCAAATAACCCCTATAGGAAGTTTACACCAAATTTGGTGAAAACAGGTGTCGTGACAAGGTGACGCCAACTGGCGCCAGATGGCGCCACCGCTAAAAATGAAAGTCATTTTCGTAATCAGGGCATCGAATTACCTCTATAGGCAAATTTACGGTAGTTTCTAAGGTGTACAAAATTACACTGCACGAGCGGAGGTGTTTTTACGTGAAATCGGCGCGGGCTTATCTACCGGAAATTAGGGTATAGGTGGCTCACGTCACTGTTACGTGATAGACTGTGACTTCAAGCTTCATCATCGTCGTTGAGCCATGAGTTGCTTCAACCCCTTCAGGCTCTGAAGGAGGAAATCCCGACGTCAGCCAGTAAAACTGATTCAAATGACTTGTTAAGTCTTTGTGAGGATACCCACAGCCAGCGGCATGGGTGCGTGCTAAGCTAACCTAGGCAGTGACTCGAAAGGGCAGCCTGTTGATGGGATTCAATTCAGCGTTTTTTTGGAACACCTGCTAGTACTAGGTGGACCCAAGCGGATTAGAAGGTTTGGTTTCAATTGATCTCAAAATTGATCATCCAGGGAATTTCGCTATCATTCAGAGAGAAAACAACTTGAAGTTTGAAAACCTTCTTACTTCGTGTCTCAAGGTCCCATGTGAAGTAATTATGGCCTCTGAAAGCAGGCTTTTTTGGCAGATCGTCAACCCGTGTTCTTCACATAGGCAGTGCCTCGGGGGTTGACCTCGTGGATCGAAGTCCGCCAAGGCGGGAACGCGGGGTAGGGGGAAGGGTACGGCAATGTTGATTGATTTGTCGACCCCGTCCAGTCGTTTTTTTTTGTTATCTATTCCCTTTTTAATGTGATTTCAAGCAGATTTTTTATAATGCATACTGCAGGTAAACATTCAACTACTTTTTTTTCAGATACCATGTGCCTTCCAAGTGTCACAACAACTGGTCTCGGCGACGACGCCCAATAATACGTAGGTTTGTCGAAGTCTTGAAAAACGTTTTATATCTGTAATAAATCTGTCTGTGGTGCACTTTCTGGTAGCGAGCGTGCCATGTGCCACGACCCCTGTGCTTACCCAACAGACCCTGCCACCCCTTTAAGGGAACGATTTCTCTATATGTCTAGTCGCGACCTGTACCCCCCCCCATTTAATACCGCAAATACGAACCTTGATACGCCTAATCAGTTGCGCCTCGCATTAAACCCGCTTCGAAATTGCAGAATGTTTTGAATGCACTCTGATCATATGCAGTTTTTTAATGGAATTGAAAAGACGGTGGTGCGTTTGCCACTAAGCGTGAGTAGAGACTAGTACTAGGTGAACCCAAGCAAGGTCCTCTTCGTCGAATTGAAATACAAATTTACCCTTTTTCCAGCGGGCTTTACAAAAAGGTGTGCTGATACTGTATTTCAAGGTTACACAGCGTACATGGCGCTTCCTTAACGTCTAGTATACGTTTCATCCACATGATCTGTTGAACTAAGGCCTAGTTACCTGCGCCTGGTTCCCGTGCATGCCCGTGCATGATTCGGTCAAATCGTGACCAAAATACTATTGAGGGAGGTAGGTAAATACCCAGTACCCCATGAATACCGAAGAAGCGGACTTCTTCCAGCCAGAGGTGATTCGAGGACATGGCGCATCATAGCCGTGATGAATTACTATTGATTTGTTCGGAAAGTTTTCACCGTTTTTGGTTCTGATTTTCAAAAACGCATATCTCTTTTCAAGTAGAACAAAAACTGTTATAATGCCCATACTTCTGCCTTCAAAAGCTTGAATGAATCCGGATATTAAAAGTGCTGGAGTTTTGTGAGCAAGGAACTCCCCGAAGGTCTGTGGATTTCAAACCTAATCTCTTTGGCGAAACTATCTAAATAGTTGGAAAAGTGATGGTTGGTAGGGGAGAGGTTTACTGTGTAAAATGTTCGCACCGCAATTTGGAGCTCAGCTAGTTCAACTTGTGCACGGTTGAAAGTGAGAGATGGGCTGTGCAACGGTGGGGAGGATGGCGGCGGCACGCACTTGTTGACATCTTTAGGCTTTTTACCCTCAATTTTCTGTTTGGAAACCATATGTCGGTTAAGCTTAATTCAAGAGCGACCTGTTACATAATTCTATGCAGATTTGCTCTGAACAAACACCTCAGTTAATCTTTGTCAATCTGTGATATTTGACCGCCACCCTGATTCTTCGGAGCTTCTCTCAGCATAAGGAAGAAATTCTGAATCATGACTGCGCAGGAAGGATTTGCGACCAAACACACAACTGAAATCCTACTTGCTTCCGCGGTGTTGCGGCAATATTTGAAGGGAAACAAGAAGCTCGTGCAAAATAGCCTGTGAGTTGTGTTGTATTCGAAGCTTTGAAAAAGAGCGGAGAAGCGATCAGTCGCAAAAAGAAGAGCACTTTCTGATAGGGCGAGAAACGCGCTCCCTATATAAGATGGTAGCAGTTTCTCAAAAGTTGCTCAGAAATCATGCATCAAAAATTGAGCTAATAAAAACTAGGAAACCTTCCCAACTACCCAGTACACTAAAGGAAGCGTCACCCATATTTCAATTTTTGATTACGCTGAGATCCAACTTAAAGAAATAAATGTGTAAAGGTATGTACGACTGGATCTCACGCATTTTTATTGACTGGACACCTAACTGAAAACCGTCCATTCCGATCCTAATCCCGGTGGCGGTGGAATCGAGGTATTAAAACTTCGCAAGTTTTATTTGCTACCCCACAACCTCAAGGCAGACACGTTGCAGAGGCAGCCCATTAGAAAACAGGTTCAAGGTGATCAGTGGTACAGGGGTGAAGAAAAAGCTTGGGAAACGGACGTGAACCCGAAAAATGGGACCACTTCTTTGCACCTTAATTTCCGCTTAGGCGAATGTCATCATCGCCAACGTTCTCGCTCGGTTGAAACGGCTAGGGTCCGTCGGCCGAATAGTTAGTCAGTCGGTGGGCAGGTAGTGACCCAAGGGCGCGGATACGGCCCCGCTAGGGTGCTGAAGGCATACCCGTCGCTGGGAAGCCCGCTTCATCCGTCATCCTTGGGACGCCTGCCTTTCCACTAGATATGTTTCCTCTTCTTCGACCACCGACCTTATCGTGAAATCTTCCTTGAATTCCCCTCACCTGCGCATGCGATGCGGTAGAAGCTTCACCTGTCAATTCGCCGCCTTCATCCGCTTGACACGCCGAGGACAGCGTGGGGCGCATGCGCCTCGCAGTTTGGAGGCCATGTGTTACCGAGCGAGGCGCACGCGCTGGCATCCATACCATTTCTTTTCTTCGCGCATGTGCCACTGCTTTTCTTATTTTTTGTATTGATTCCGTAGATAACGCGATAACCTAACTATGAACGGCGTGGTTCACTGAATTGTCAAATATACTTTACTTCAGGGAGGGGTCTCCGAAGGCTACAATTTTGCCAGTTAAATTTATTCCTCGTTTTTTTTTGACGTGCTCAAGAGATTTGTTTGAAAAAGTAGAAATATAGGTTCACGGTAAGTGTTTTTACTGAAACAACTCGTCAATATGTCTTCGAGGCTTCATACAGAGAAATCGACCGAAACTGGTCTTCTTATCACAACAACACGTTATTTTGATCGAGCTTCTACGAAGTACCTCCCGATTACTCAAACATTGAAACTTATCGAAGACATTTTCGTTACGCCCAGTTTTGCGTGTTTATAGCTTTACAGCTCTGTGGATGCGAGGTGAGACGGCCACGCTCGCAAAGTCGCTCCAATCTCATGCGACGAAAAAATCCAGAAACGCGCTGTGCAGCGTGTCAACAAAGTTGTTTTGACAGATTGGATGTGAAGGAAGGGGAGATTTGCTCACTATCAAAGGACGACAAGCTCCCAAGGGAGCTGTGAAGGGCGCGCACCACGCCAACCCTAACCATGGCGAGCGCCGCCTGCCGTGGCGCGACCAAGTCTAGATTCAAGCCTGACGGGGAGGGGGGGGGTTCCTCTTCAACTGATGGGAAGGGGGAAGCCGTATATGCAGACAGCAAAGGCTGAAATCGTGACGCTATCGGCATTTCTCATAAAGCAAGGTAGAAACGAGAAATATGAAGGGGATGTTGCTCTGGTTAAAGGCCAAATAATAACCAAGAACAATAGGAATGGCTGGCGATCACTAAAATTTGAAGCAAGAGAAAAGACTTTCAAATGCTTCGTACTTTGAAACCACAGACAAACGCTTGCGTGGTGCATCAAAGGGCAGTGGTGATTAGCGGTAAACATTTTATATTTGATTTATAATCGAGAAACGTGGAATTGTTGCACTGGAGACACCCAGATGTTTTTGCATGAAATTTAGGGCAATGTAGTGCCCAGAAGAGAAATTTCAAGTGGGTAATTCTGCAAAAGCCATTTGTGTGCCATTTAGACAGTCAAAATATCTTAGTTTCCAGTGGAGGTTTTATTCTTCTCAGTTGAGCGAGTGAAGGAGGTTATGATCGTTGGAATCCCGAAATCGCTAGCTCGAGAAGGTTATCTGAAAAAAGATCCAGATGATCGAATAAGGATTCGTTAGAAACTCAGAGTACCTTGCTTGTTCCCTTGTCGCATGGCCTACACACAATCCATCCAGGAGAGTGTGAAGTTCGTTAGAAGCTCGAAATCTCGCGTTCAAAAAAAAAGCGGCCGACGTAACCCCCAGAATTAGATTGGTGAGTTTCGGGGGCCGGGTGAGGGTTCGCTTCTCAGATAGTGTATGATGCAGAAGGACCTCCGAATTAGCGGATCCGGCAGCTATGCTTCCGGCACGCCCACTAGTCTGTGATTGGCTCGCGTCTGAAGTAACCCATGTGGTGATAACCAATCACGAACGACTGCGGCCCGTAGATAGGAAGTTCTCTTGCAAGTCTATCTGAGTGTGAAGGCCCAATTTTTCCCCCGTTTCTGGGCCTCCCCAAGATCCGTACAATGGAGTTACGTTTGCGAGAAGCTTAAAGGTCAGCTTTGCACGAAAAGGATTCACGGCTGCGTCAAGCGCCAGGTCTCGAGTGCCTCCGGCGACGAATGAGGTCAGCGCTGTGAGGACAACAGGTATGGTAATGTGCCTTCTGAGTAGGCATTCACAGTGCTTTGATTTGGAATTGTTCGAGGTCCACAGGGGATGACCTGGTCCACGGTGCGACTTGGGACTGCTGGACTGCTAGTACAGCTTAAGCCCTTTCCAATGTGTGCGAAATTACCCTTCTCCATAGCATTGGAATTCACTGAACTGCAGAGTCAAACGATGAACTGATATGTCCATTGTTCAGCTCCGAAAATTCAATGGATGGATGACCAAGCTGGCATTCAAACGTAACTTCAATTACGAATGAAACCTGAGGCATCGCGCACGTCTTGTAGGGAATTGGTCAATCAAAATCGGAGCTTGGGCCTGTCTGATCAATACTTGGGTGAGAGATCGCCCCAGAGACCGCCGTCCTATCGATATGATACGGTATCGGCATGACTGTTCACAGCGTCGGAGGCCTGCCTCAGACCGGTGAATGACGGACAGCGCTAGCTTCGGGATGCGTAGTACATACTTGAGATAACTACAGATGACGCTGAAATTGCTTGGCCAGCAAGCTACTTTTAGTAAATCCTCAATCCGTGATGTCCTCTGGGGTTGTGTCTGGGTGGTCAACAGCATTAATCGAACCACGAAGGCGGCAAATGGTGGTAGGGGTCGTGGCGGGCGGAGGACGGGGGGGCGGCCATTTTTTTAACACCGCAACCACCCAGTGAATAGTTACATGCATCCTTCCTTTTTTTCTCCATTTCGCTTTACTTATCGGTCGTCTTTACATTGCCTCCTTTCCCTAAGCCACTGCAAACCATTGCACATCCTTTCATTTTATTTGGTTTACGATGTAGGCATTCCTGTGAGACAATATATTTGTCCGTGCTAA